ATGCTGAATTCAAACTAGTTATCGTCGTTCCCATAGTTTTGTCTTTATTGATTTCGTTTCTCAAACCCTGTAGAGTGCTAACAAACGTATGATTAAAAGAGTTTTCAAGCTCTCGGAAGTCCGTAGCTTCATCAAACTTTTTAATAATTGTTTAATTAATGTTTTGTTTAGCCGCATGATTTGTTTATTGTCGTGCGAGCTGCTAATTTCTTCTAGAATTACCTTCGTTGTTTTTTTTAAATTCCCTCAAGTAATATATCTTTTTTACTAGTCTTATCGTACCTTATTTCTCATTTTTCGTATTTCTTCCTTTAGTTGTAAGTTGCCAGTATTCTGCTTACATCTGTCCCATAAGTTGACCTTAGAGTAGCATAGTTTCATTATATCTTAATACAAATATTTTTACATTTTCTTTCTTTTTTGAGTAAGAGTATATTTTTTAATTTTATCCACTAGGGGCTGGTAAATAGTTATATGATCATATTCTGCAAAGCGATTCCAATCGTGCGCCTGGATTAACCTCTCCATATTTTTATTATCCAAAATAAATAAAATTTCATTAAGTCTCAAGGTTTTCAATGCATCCGTCATGCACAGGTCGTGTTATTGTTACGAAGTAACGATCTTCAACATTTTGTTTAATTGCGCCGGATAATGTTGCAAATTCATTACTTCTCACTATGATGTGATCAATGCAGCTTTGCGACATATGGTCTCCTAAACATTCTTCTCTTGTACAGTCGGTGATACTGTTTACCAAACCAAATTCTTCTAATATATTTAGGTATTCAGATGATCCCTACTTATACTAATTTTTACAGTCGATGTAAAAACCATACTCCAAAATCAGGTGGGGTTATTATTGAACTTCCTTAAAAAAAAACAGCCGAATTCCTCGCGAAGGAAGCTACGTTGAGGGCGGGATGCCTGTAAACGACACAAATTGTAAATGACGCGTTTTGTCCAAATATTTGCACTGCTATGACTTCCGCAGAAGTGAATGTTATCTCCTGACGTTCTGACACACAGTCATTCATAATAAACATAAATATGCCAGCACCTTTTATTTTTTTCACGGCACAAAGAATGAATGACAAGGGAAAATATTAAATTTAAAATCGGGACAAGCAGCTTTATCAACATCGATATTCGTCAATACTAACACTTATAGGTTACTGAACCTGCGTGATAAATAAACATTTAACTGATCCCAGTGTTTTTGCAGACTTCTAACGTTAAACATGCAAGAGGTAAATCGAATACCGTGTTTTGGTGCGCTCAGCAAAAACCTCCCATTCGGAAAACGATTGAAATGAGCTTTCCATTTTAATGCATTTTGTTCAGATCTCCTGCATTATTAAATCTAATAGAAGCCGCACCTTCTCTCTGTCTTACGAAGATTTTATTATTACGCATCCATACATACTTGTATACCTTTTCTCTGGCAGCATTCCTTGTCTCCCAGAACAGTCCTCGAATTCTGGTTAGATTTTAATTAATGAAGATTCCATCAGTTCTAAGTCCAGTTCGTTTTTCCGTCCACGCATTCCTGTTCGTTAACTCCGTGAACCTAACCAAGATCGGAAGTATAATGCCCTCCCTGGCTTTTAGCCTGTGCAAGGCCTCAATGTGTTAAGTTTTGGGCACGGGGAGACCAAGACTGGGTGCCAGATCCTGAACAAGTTTCGTTACATCTTAATCTGGTTGCTGTATTGTGCCATGAATCTCTATTTTCTTTCGACGAAAGTACATTTCTGCCTCGTTTAGTGAAGTTCTGAGTACCTGAATTTCTAGGTCACTTGCCCCCCATCCTGGCTTCTAGTTCATCTGATTTCTTTTTCCGTTGATTAGTTGTGATTTCGTGAGTCTTTCACGTTGCGAGAACCTCGTCGTTCTTGGTGGAAAGCTGATTTAAGCTCCTTTCTCTACTTTTTATTGCTTGCGTCTGGTTTCCTTTTTACTCAGCGTGACATCGGATTGGCTTGATTGTTCGCTGAGCGATTTCTTCACACTCGCCCCTAATTTTCCCCAGTACTTCAATCTACTTTTGTCAATCTCTGACAGTCTTGTCAAAATAGCTACCAAACTGCACTCCTGGGAGCCCTGCGTCAAGAGATCATCCTCGGTTACCCTGCCTGTCTCCAAAAAAGACAAACTGTGTGAACGTCTAGCGGGCGTTTTACATGTGACGGAGTGCCAAGAGCTGCTGTTCCTCCGCCGTCATGTATTTAAGCAAGTTTTTTTTCGTACCGGTCTATTTCCCTACGTGATAACTTTTTGTGCACTCAACGCACGCAATAGTCGCATTATCATTGGAGAAGGCCTAAAGCGTGCAAAACAATCAGTTGACTCATTCATTTTGATCTCTAACAAAACCAATAAAGGTAACCCAGCAAACAGGGAGTCAGGCAAACCACCACCGTGACAACGATAGCTTAACGCAATTAGCGCTCTCTTACCTACAAGTTGAAAGGCAAACGGTTATGATCGGCATCGGTACATCGCCGAACTGAGAATATTCCACTAATGCATTAATACGCTGCCAGTCTCCTTCGCCGTAGTCAATGTCATGTTGCCGCAGTCATAGGCTTTGTGGAGACGACATAATGTCACTTGTTAGCCATTAAAGGTATATTAAGAAATAAAAGAAAGAGGTAGTGCACAACGTCACCGAACACAGCTTTGTACTTTGATCATGTGTGGTGTCCCTCCCTTTTATCCGTCTGTCTTTTCCTTCCCTGTCCCCGGCTGTTATGTCAACTTTTTACCTGCTCGCCTGCCCGCCTTCTTTAAATGAGCGTTTTCTGTATTTTATCACTTTTACGGACCTAGTTGCTTAAAAATATTTTGGGTGGAATTCGGTCACGTCCAGCACCTAGGTGCATGGTGTGGCATATGGTATTGTGTATACCATGTGATGATTCTTATAACTCCTCAGGTTTCTAACATTTCCAATGGTAAAAAAAAAATCTAAAGAATATTTGCATCGAGTTTATCGCAGCGCCTAAGAACGGTACTGACCGAGGGCGAAATTAATTATATATATATAAAGCACTTTGGTTGAAATGAATAATAATGAAGGAAGAGACAACTATGCATTTGACTAATTCGCAGAATATTGATCCTGTCTATACTTATATTTCTAACGTCATTGTGATTGTCACAAGAAAACAAACAAACAACCAAACAACGCTTTTGATAGAATATATTTTGAGAAAAAAAAATCACAAACATAAAAATTGTAGGTTTTGATGCTCATTAGTATTTTTAAGAAACGCCGGCACTCAATGAGGGATTTGAGGAAACTTATCATTTCGAATGTTTGTCATTTTTTTTACCATACTCAACCTATTGAGAAACAATTATTTAGTTAAGTTGATATATTATATTGCTTTCGCATAGTCGAGAAATTTCCATACTTTCAAGGTGAATTAAAAAAAAAATTATTTATATCTTATTCCTTCGTGCTGAATATATGAGCTGCGTCCGAGTTACTCTCAAATGATTCTCAAAAAGCCAAAACACTGAGACCTAAACTTAACTTTGAGTTCCAGTTTTGGTGCGAACCGGAGCTTTTTTGAGCACTGGCAGTAAGGTATACGCCACTAAAACTTGGCGGGCAGTTCATGCTCATGTTGTTCGTGGCATCACCTAAATACACAGGTTGTTTCACGGAACGCAGACCAAAACCTTTCTGCAAGAACTACCCTTCCAACAAAGGAGATGACGTATTTGCTAATTACCGAAAGTCCCACCTAGATAATTTGCAAGTAGATAGCGTTTTAGTTAGTAGAATACGGTTGACACTGCAAACTTGCATGACATCATCAAAGACCACTAAGTAGGTAACATTTCCAAATATTTAGGATGTTTAGAGCGTTTTCAAAGAATCCAACATTTCCCAAGAATCCAAGATTTGAAGGCGACGCCATGGTTGCGGTGTCCTATTGGCTGTTTGCGGTAGCTTGCAGTCACAAGAATGCCGGTGCGGTTATCAAAGTAAACACATTTATGGCATTAAGATGCAGCCAGTAGATAACAAAAACCACGTAATTGCGTCCGATTTTTTTTGTATGTAGGATAATGCTGCCGTGTCCTAAAAATTCCTAAAAGTGACTCTTAGTGACTTTTCATAATGCCCAGCAAGTTTCAGGTACAAACAATACATTAGTTGTTAGCGACTAGGTGATAATTACTGAAAACGAATAAACACGAAACTCTATCTGACAATATACAAATTTCTAAACAAGTCTTTTGATAGTGGCCTATTACGTCATTAACTTTCGTCCTGCGCATTGCGTTTTTCTTAGCATGAAACCCGGTCTGCGTTTTATGAGACATCGTGTATTGAAACGAATAAAAACGCAAAAAGTTTAATGGCAACTTTGAGTGTACCGTTTGTAGGTCTAATATATGGCATATATGTTGAAAATATATATTTTTTTTAAATAAAACTGTGACATAAAGCAATACATGTAAAGATTTGTACAGGGTTTGTGCGTGAACTATCGTCATTAAAAATACGTTTGTTTTATTGGGCAGGATCAAAACTCAACAACACGCTCAATTAGTGCAAAGAGTTTATTAATCACGAAGATAAATAAAGTTAAAAAAGAGGTACAGAACCAGACATTAAAATATTAACGTCACCCTGCACTCCCAGGGACATTTCCTTCGGTGTTGTAATGAAGCGAAATCGGTGGAGCGTCTCTCGTTTCGCAAAAACATGATGACCTGAACCTTCCATGATAGCAGGCATCGTAATATACATGACTCGCCCGTAAACTACACATGAACAGCGGACCTGCCTTGAACCCCGTTAAGAAACAAGAACAAAAAAATCCTTCGTTTCATTTCATCTTGTCCTCCTTCAGAGGTCTTCCTTGACAAGAAACCAACCCTTCCAGCGGCTGTTAGGTGCCTCTCTTCCAGAATCTTTTTCGAAATCCAGCACCCTACTCACTTCTTTCCTCCCATCCATCTTCAACCCTAAGGCCTTCTTATTTCTTAAGCCGGCCGAGGATAGAGCCATCAGGACCAACCAGCTTGTGGTGGACTTCACCTCCGGCGTGTACGACGGCAGCGGGCGCCGCGTGGACTACAGCAGCGGGTGCAGCCTGCACCACAGCGGCAGCAGCGGGTGCTGCGTGCACCGCGAACCTCTGGGAGTAGACGGCGGCCGCAGCGGGCTGAACGACGGACACTCCAACCGGAGCCGCCGCCACCTGGACAGCTGGGGCATGAGCGACGACGCCGTAGCCCCCTCCGTAGCCTCCGTAGGCTCCGTAGGCTCCGAAGGTCGGAGGATGAACGGTGTCGTGCTCGTGGTGGTGGTACTCGTGGTGTGGGACGTGGACCTCGCCGAAGGCCGTCGGGATCCTCCTGTTACCGATGTAGGGGCCCCTCTGGAAGGACGTGCGGGAGTAGCCGTAGCCGCCGCCGTAACCGCCGCCGTAGCCAAAACCTCCGTAGCCGAGACCCACGCCGTAGCCAACGCCGCCGCCGTAGCCGAGACCGACGCCGTAGCCGGCACCGCCATAGCGAAGGCCGCCGTAACCGCCATAGCCGAAGCCTCCGTAGCCGTAGCCGGCGGGGTAGACGGCGCCGAAACCTCCGTGGCTGACAACGGAGGTTGTCGCGGGAGCCACTACCTGAGTAACGGCGGGGCGGGCAACTACCTGCGTGACCGCCGGTTGGGCGACCACCTGAGTGACGGCCGGTTGGGCGACCACCTGAGTGACCGCTGGCCGGGACAGGTAAGCCCCCCCGTATGCCGCGCCGCCGTAGAGCGCCCTTCCGCCGTAGAGCGCCCCTCCGCCGTAGAGCGCCCCTCCGCCGTAGAGCGCCCCTCCGCCGTAGAGCGCCCCACCGCCGTAGAGCGCCGCGCCCGCCGGCCTTGCAGCTACGACATGGGAACCACCGTAGCCTCCTCCGTACGCGCCGACTCCGTGGGGTCCCGTGGAGTGGACCGACACCACGTGTCCCGAGGAGTGGTCGTAAACGCTGGAGTCGTGATCGCGAGGCACAACGTCAGTGTTGTGCTTTATGAAGGTCGAGTGGTGTGTCGAGCCGTCCGGGTGGTGGATCTGGTGCGAGTAACCCTCGGTGTGCGGGTGCAGGCCTCCGGCGTTGACGGCGCACCAGAGGGCCAGGGAGTGCAGAAGCAGCAGCTGGATCTGCCGGAATTTTCGAAAGTTTTTGGAGGATTCATCTATAGAACGGGCTACACTGATATGGCTGTAATCTTTCCTGTTGGAAACTCATACCTGAGTTGGTAATATTTCACATTTCGTGCCTTAAATCAAGCCATAAGTCTATAATCTAGTGTAGCGGTAGCAGGGACCATTTAATCGTCGTCTTTGAATCCAGAAGGCGGGTGCTCATAGAAGTAAACTTACAACATCCCGCCTTTCGTTATAGTGTACGTCTGTATAATGTGCTATATTTGTATGCTTGTCACGAACATGACAAGTTAATAGTACCATAAGTCCCAGGCACATAGGGCCCCCACATTTGTCCCCCACATCCCACATTTGTCTGCAGTACAGCCAAAGGCAAAGGCGCGTGAGCCTAGTTCAGCAGAATGTTTTTGTTTGTACGATAACTCGTGTATAACTTTCCAAAGCGACGCGTTCTTGCCTTAGCTTTTACTACAGACGCTTGTGAGATGGAGTATAGGTTTAGGTGTGGCGCTGGTCTTCACTCTAAGAAATGCCTGCGCTTCTACTTACCCGCAAAACACTCAAAGAGCCAATCACTGCAATCTATGAAATCAGCTCATCCAGTGATGAGGCGGGACATCCGTTTGGACCTAAAAATGAAGTCTGCGCTGTGGCATTACGCAATGCAAAGCGTCATGCTTGCAGTGCGTAATGCCACAACGCAGACTTCATTTTGAGGTCTTAACAGATGTTCCGCCTCATTGTTCGCTGAGCTGATTTCATAGATCGCAGAGATTGGTTCTTCGAGTGTATTGCAGGTAAGTAGACGCGTAGGCATTGGTTAGAGTGTTGTGCCTGAACTTTCTTTTTCTTTGGCTAGTAAAATGACCAAAGAGCTGATATCATTTAATTTAAATAGCTGCTCGAACAGTCACGAGCGAAACGAACTTTGAAACGCTGAGAATTTAAGAAGCGTAGTGGGTACACTCACCCGGTTGAACCCAGCCATTTCTAGTAGAGATCCGAGTACTTTCGACGCAAAGTTGTGTTTGTGCAAGAGAAAGTCAGCCAAGATCACTTTTATACCAGCCTACAGACGAACGGAGAGGGGAAAGCGAAGAGCGAAATGTGTCGGAAAATGCCGGTGAAAAGAGAGGGAACGTCAACACTATCTCTTTATCTGGGATAATCCTCGGTTGGATTAAGTGATCACCGAGAGATGAGCGCCGTGCTGCACGGTGGCTCCTTAGCAGGCTCTTCACGCTTCCCACCAAGAAACCAGGCTGTCCCGAGGAGGGGCGTACCAGGCCGCCCCCGGTGCCGCAGGGCCACGGAACCCCCCTCGCGACCACAACGACGGTGTCATACACTTTTTGTTTTATCTATTCAATGAATTCCCTTTCGTGTCTTTCGCCGATAAAACGTGGTCTTCCCCATCTCGGAGGGGCGGTTTCCGTACACCGAGGCCCGAAGTTTGCAATCGTCGGAGTCGTTGTGCGCTATTTGTTTAAGTGTTTCCACTCTCCAGACGGATCGCCGTTAATGTTCTGAAGCAGCCTGCCGTGCTTGGAGGTGGACTCCGTTATCGATGGCGGGAATCCAAGCCTCAAAGAAGGGGTTGTGTGAGACGCCAAAGAATGGTCGAGGCTAAGACCACGCACGGCGACATAAAGGGAGAGTTGAAGAGCACCGGGTGGTCCTCAGGGGAGAAAGAAGACGGATAAATTCTGTGTTTACGAGGAGGAAGAGCTGACGTCGTAGCGCGATCGGTGCCTTGAATACGAGAACGGGCTCCTGGCGGACGTCGTGACGGTTCCCGATAGAATCTTCCTTGGGATACGTAGCGGTGTTCCTCCGCTTTTTAATGTGGGGTGTCGATAAGGGTTGCGTTGTCCTCGCCGCGGTGGCATTGAGAAACCCGGGCGCGCTGACTGTGTCCAATGCGATATGTCAACTAGACTGGGAGAGTGGTGCGTTAGTGCGTCTGTCTCGTGTGTGTGTTTCTGTGTCGCTGTCTGTGCGGCGGGAACAGAGAAAGGGTTAAAAGCTTTTAGATGTTTCTTCGTTAGCAAAAAAAAAAAAAAAAGACTTCTTTAGTCTAATATAGATCGCGACCTTGTTGATGATGACTTTTGTTTGCGCGTGAGAGTCTCTCTTATCCCCGGGAAGAATCTGTCCCAAAACGCTCACGTGTATGGAAATGTGCACTTGAGCGTCCAAGTCGGTCGCACCGGTGATGCGTCTCTCGGCGCGATAAAAAAGGTCCGTAAATTTAAGCGTAATTCGCGGCGATTGCCACCTTAGTTGACGGGTTAAGTGTCCAAAAGGTAGAAAAAATACAAAAAAGTGCGATGTTATTTTAACCGCTAAAGAAGTACTTTCCGAATGAGAATGACTGTGTGTAAAAATGCGATACGACAAACAGGAGCTGGCGTTATAGATGAGTTAACACTAAAAATATTTAAGTAAACTAATTATGCCAGCAAGCAATAATAATAATAAAAAAATATGCATTAGGAACAATGCAAGCACCCCGAATCGATTCGACCATTGAGATAACCACGTAAGGTGATCTCAATGGCCCAGAAGCGAAGGAACTATTCTGGAGAAAGTGTGGGTGGTGGGCGTGGGACGGTGAAAACAAACGCGGATAGTAAAAACAACGCTAAACTTAATGACCAATTTCATCGAGCAAAGCTCTGTTTCTGTGGCAGCCAGTATTTAAAATGGGCAGTGATGAATGCCCCCCCCCCCCTTCCCGTGACGTCAGAAAAAAAAAGTAATGCATTTACAATGAGCGACAACGTTACGTAATCTCTTCCTGAATATTTGGGGCGGCTCCTACAGTTATTATCTTGAAACAAACTGCGCAATAGTTTGTATAGTTAAATATAAGGGCTTGGGTGCGAAACAATTGAAAAATGCATTTTTAACGACGCAGTGCAGAAAAGAAAGAAAAGAAAAGAAGAACACTAATTGACTATAATCACTGACAGCTTGAGAAACTCGGACGTAACTTATTTTGGTCACGCTTGTTGCTTACGCGTGAATCGTTCACGGGTATCGGCTATGACGCAATCTCATTGACCGGGGAGCGATAATAATCCCTTGGAACTCAAACGAAAGGTGTTTAATAGGTACTTTTTATAAAGATTCAAATAAACAAGATGTGTAGGCAGACATAGTACACGGCAGTTTATTCTTGGTACATAGCATATTGGAAATTCAGATCGAAGATGTTTACTATAAACGTTCCAGATTAAGGTACATTGTAGCTTGCTATAGACTGCGAAACGACGTCGCTTCTCGCTGGCGTCGAGGACGGGATGACACTATTGAATGACCGTTCGGTTTTTAGTGACTGGATGATCCGCCTGAAAAGAAAAAAAAACAAAAAACAAAAAAAAAAAAACGAGACATGTGAATTATATCTTTTACGAAGCACACTTCTGATTCAAGAAAAGGTGTCCCACAACCAGTATTTGATTAAGTGCGATTACTTCGAGTCAACTGCGGATACCTGTAATGCCAATCTCTCACTTAGAAATGCTATAATCCCTAACAAGAATCGACAGCATCTTGAAATAAAGAAATAAAGGCGACTTCGCTAACGTAAATTAACGAGCACAAGTCGCGAAGTGAAGGACTTTTCTGAAACAGGTCCCACGACGCGTCTCTTTGGTGATCCGCAGGAACACATGACTTAATATATAAAGAAGCAGCAGCGCCAGCTATCTTTGCTTCAGTGTTACAGCAGAGCTTTGCTATCATGAACGCTATTAACTTCGATTATCAGAAAAACATGCTCTCCTAACGACGTATGTTAAATGTAATTGGAAGGATAAACGATCAGTCTACATTCGCAGTGAAAGGTACCACAGTCTTAAAGCACAATTTAATAAATAGTCGATATTTTTATGCGATAGAAGGCCGAAATTAAGATGTCGTTTTCTTTTATCGATATAAACAATTACATTAAGGTTTAACCGTTTTTTTTCGTTTGTTTTGTTACCGAATTAAAAAAAAATTTCGGCTTAAATTGAGAATTATAAGACCAAAACAAAGTGCACAACGTGTAAATGGCGCGAAGCGTTCTGAGTATGAATAAAGGAATGAATGGAAGTATCAGCACCGCTTGCCTTATTTGTTTATTTTTTTCTGAGTATCGTTACGATAAGCTAAAATCCAGTCAGTGTTCTGGCGAGCAGGTAAAACTTTACCGTGATGAATTAACACCGGGGCCGATACCTCCTTCCGCGCGAGTCTAGGGTCAAATTCATAATGGTGTCCTTACGAGTTCTACCTAGACGAGCTGGTGAAATTCGTTTAAAGGTGTCTCGGATTATATCCCCCGCGTGCTTCGCAGTCCTCGTCTTGAAGGCGGCAAGTTACCCGACACACTTCGTAATCGCTTCCTATACCCCTTGTATCACAAATGGTTGAAAACAGGTTTCTAAGAGTAACTTTTCGGATAGTATACCGTAACGCAAGTCCTCGTTCGCAACCTTGTTTCCGACCGCACGAAATTGCTCGGGTCGCCGCCCAGGCTGCGTCGAGGATAGATAGCGTGTCCCAGCAACAATAACCCGAGGGACGGTAAGGTACGTCCGCGGGCAGATAAGACGAGGTCAATAGGAGACTGATACGTTGGCTCGCATCTCGAATGCAAAGTAGAACAAAACGCGGAAAGAAGGGGAGAAAAGAATCGAGTCACGGGGGAGAGCAAGAAGGTCGAGGAGGGAGGAGGTCGAAGAAAGAGAATAACCTTAAAACAAAACAAAAACATATTTTTTAATGGTGGAGTTGCGTTTACAGTTACAGTAGAGTCTTTATAAAGCGGCTGGATTCACACTGCTTAACACATCATAGAAAAGATCGTCTGCAGAAACTGTCTGAGGCGGCCTTCTTTTTTGTTATGACTTGCCCTGTCAGATAGGTCATACAAAACTTGTCTGCAGACGTGCTCGAGTATATATATATATATATATATATATATATATATTTATATATGTGTGTGTGTGTGTGTGTGTGTGTGTGTGCGTGTGTGTGTGGTGTGTATTTCCATCCCTCTCCCGCAGCTCAGGGACCCTGACAATTACTCAGATTAAATTTTCTGCCTTTTGTTTTGTTATTCCTTCCTTCCACAACTTTTTTTTTCATCATATCTTTCTTTGCTTTATTTCTTGAACAACTTCCTGCGCGAGACAGTATCTGAGCCTGTCCTTTCTCTTTTTTCTTTGTGTGTGCGTTTTCTCAGTCAGTCTCACGTAGGCTTTTTTTAATGTTGTTTTTCTTAATCTCTTATTCAGCATGCATTCAAATCATTTGTCGCTTTCGACTTAGTGAAGGTCAAACATACGGGAAAGAGGTCTTAGCAGCTCGAAGTTCACCGACCCGGAAGAGAATTTCAATCCTTCAGAAGCACATGGTGAAAGATCAACGTTCGAGCCCATTCTTTGGAGTAGCTCTGACCACAGGATAGCTCGTACCAGACGAGAAGCATCATTACGAACCAGCGCACAGGTAGACAGGTAGACCTTTTCCTTGGCGTCGAAGAAGAGGAAGTTTGAAATACAAATCAGTTGATAATTCAGCGCTTTGTGAGTGTATTTTTCTGTGTGTTTGGATTTTGAGTAACTGTCTACTCGTGCGCTGGTTCGTAATGATGCCTTACCAACTCGCCCAATCTGCAGTATTAGCAGACGAGAAGCTCCTCTATAAGACACTGACGTTCGTAGGGCATTGACTCGAGCGCGCATGTTTATTTCAGCCTGTACGAGGCATGGTGGAGGCATATCATGACGCATCATTGAATGATCCTAAAGCAGTTAGAAAATATTATAAAAGTACCAAAGGTAATGAAACATAAGATATCAGTCCAAGTTAGTCCCTCATTGAGGAAGCTTTGGCGGAAGTGGCGATTAAAAATACGCAAGGGAAAAACGAGGGAACAAAAAAAAAAAAACCGTTGAAATAACGGTAAAAAAAAGTTTCGAAAATAAACGGTTG